TCAGCTGTGCCTTTTTTTGCCAATATAATTGAGTAGGTACTTGTGCCAGTTGCTGTCCTACGGGACATAGTGGTGTACAGGGCAGATGAGGTCTTTGCCTTCCTGAAGCTGACCTTCCAGTGCGGGTAAGAGTCAAAAATACCAGTCAACAAGAGATTTTCAGACAGTGCTAGGTATTACACAGGAGGTAGGGAGGAAATAAAGACTTCTCTTTTGAGACATATAACCATGAAGGGAAACAAGGGGATAGATGGGAGGTCCGGAAAAAGTTGTCATTTTTTCTTCGGTTTTCAAAGATGGGCAATATAAGAACATGTGTATGTTGACAGGGATAAACAAATACAAGAGTCAAGTCCTAGAGTAGATATGAGGGGGGAGTATGGAGGGAGAGGAGCTGGCTGCTGATAGGAAAATAACAGAAAGCATAGGTCCCAAGGAAGGTAAATTTCTAGATTTAGTGAGGGAAAGATGAGGGGGTATCTGTCTGGTAACTTCTAAACCTTCAATGAAGTATAAAGCCTGCTTATCAGTATGGGAAGGGGTGGACTGCTCATGAGTTCAAAGAATGGGGAGAAATTATTAAATAGTTACAGGCAAAAAGATCTTCTTAGGAATCTCATAGCTTTTTCCTGGGCAGTGCTAAGAGCTCACTTCAGATTTTTAATCATGACTCTAAAGTTCTCCAGTAATATTCAGGCACTCATGTGCACCCATGAAAAAGCTAGATGGGGGATAAGGCCACTGTAAGTAGAAAAAAAAATCATGGGCAAAAAGATATTTTAAAAAATATGTATCTGTAAGATAAACACAAAGTCACTGATAAAGTCTAATCAAGCCGTGGTCTACATAGTTCCATTTGTCTCCATCTTCTCATCACAGAAATTCTTGCAAATATTATATTTGTCATATTTAGTCATACCATTATTTAATCATGAAGCTTAAAGAGTGTTTCTTTATTGGTCATCAATAGTTCTGTCACTGCCTACAGTGGATTTTGAAAAATGCACCTGGTAGCCTACATGTTGATTCCTAAGCTGACTGCATTTTACTACTCAAAGAAATTTTCTCTGATGCTAACTGACATTTCCAGTAATGATTCCATTTAAACGTAAAAAATAAAAAAATACCTGTCCCTCAAGATGCATGCCCTTGATCCTTCAGCTGTGCTCCTAAATAATGATTTTGCCTTAAGACCCAACATTCTGGGGATCATTCATGTCTTCACAGGGTCAAGGAGAGGAAACAAAGACCTCACTTCTTATTGGAGGCATGTCAATACCATAAAGAAGAGCATATTGGGTGAGAGGGGGGGTGTGTGTCTGCATGGACATACAGTCATAGTCTGTATAGTCATTTGGAGAAAATATTATCTGCCCCATGAGCAAAAATAAAAAGGACGTTTCAAGAAACATCATGAAATGTCAGGAACACCAGGGATAAACAAAAGATCCCCAAATTTTCCAGGGTGGAAGGAAAAAAGATGTGGGGATTAAGATGGCATGAGACTTCTCAAGAGCAATTCTGGAAGCTAATGGACCATGCTTTCCAAAGGGGGGGCCCTCATTTTCAATCTAGATTCAATATCCAGTTAAACCACTATTCGAGTGTGAGAGTAAAATGACATTTCCAGACTTCTGAATTTAGGAAGGAATTTCGCAGTTTGTATGTGCCCTTTCTCAGTCAGCTACTAGAGAATGAGTGAGGGAGACACAGGATCCAGGAAAAAACAGGTTTAACACAGGAAGAAGGCGAAGGGAATTCCCAAAATGATAACAAAGGGAAGTCCTAGATGACAGCTAGGAAAAAGAAATGAAACAGATTATTTGAAAATACTGAAAGATTTTTAGTTCTGTCATAGAATTTGATGATGAATTAGTGACTGAAACCAAGAAAACTAAGCAAATGAAAAACAAAGACGTGATTATTTAATTCAGGAGAAACAAAAGTTGCACAAGAAAGAAAATGTAATATTAATACCCTACATGGCTCATCTGTGAATAACAGGTACATTGTCATAGTCACACAAATACTTAAAACTGACCTAATTGGGAACTGTAGTGTATGTATGAGCAGGGAATAGAAGAATGTCCGAATGGGATAACTAAGTCCTCAACTTCCAAAATAGAAGTCTATAGGTAATATCCAAATATCCAAAGGTAAGAAATCAAGAAACAGCAGTTTAAACATTAAAAAATGAAATAAAGGTAAATAACAGAAGGAACTGCTGAGAGTTGAAAGTGATTGAACCATATGGAGTTGTTGATTGTTTTCTACTCCCCAATCTAAAAAAATGGCACTTTCATAGAGTTTTAGCTAATATATAATAATGAAAACAATTATTGATAGAAAATGCTCAACAGAAAAAATAGTCTTTTTATTACCAGACGTTACTGGGGGGATAATGTATCCCAGTTTTGGGTAACTGTTACTATACCGGCTATTACCATCACTAACACAACAATATTAGTATTTCTAATGAATATATTTACTACTGAAATAGCATTTAACATAATTTAATTTATTTTGATGATCTAGAAATTACTTTAGAATTTTTTCTTTAATCATCATACTACAGGAAATGCTAACCTACCTATGGCAAAGATTTTGGTTAACAGAATGCCGAACAAGGCCAGGATGTTTTTAGGTTCCTTTGTTGATTGAAACAATAGCTAAGTCACTCTTGCAAAATTGAAGTTCCACAATATTGTGGTACTATGCAAGCCTATTTCAGCGATAATTCCGGTTATACTATTTTGTTTATCTAAGACTTCCCTTTATTGTTTATTTTAGGGGGATTCCTAAATAATCAGATGTAGGCAGTTTATACAATTATTGGGGTTGCTTCAATATTAGTGACTCTAGTTAAGAAAATTAATAAAGCTCTTGTTTTTAATGGTAACTTATTTTGAGTTAAATTCATTGATATTAAAATTTATTTAAATTCTACATCATGAAACCAAAACTTCCCCAGATTGAAAGTTAGTTTTTACTAATTTTAACTTAAAAAAAAACCCAATTTGACTGTGCCAACATAAGGGAAGAATTTTACCAAGAATGATGGATCCCAATACAACCGATGGAAAATTTCCCCTTAAAATTAAAAGTAAATGTTTTTAATAAAGGGAATATACATAAACAATGCTGTGGAAGACTGCTTAGTTTAGATATTATTTTGCAATGAAAACTATCAGGAATTAAAACACACATGACTAAAAAGAATCTTAAAGAGAATCTTAACACTGAACAATTCAATTATTGATATCATCCAATAACAATTCAATTATTGATATCATCCAATAAGCCCTTTTTTTTTTTTTTACCACCAGTATTTTAAATCAAAAGATCGTATATTTTGGAGGTGTGTTTCTTATAATCAACTTTAGCTAATTTCCCATCACTCTGCAAAATTATAAGGGTAAAAAGGAATTATAAAAAATTATAAAACTAGTAATGCAATAAACCATCTTCTAAAGCTTATAAAACCTGATTTAAAAGAGAAAAAGGTCCAAAGGAAACAGCAAGGAATACATGGTGCTATTACAATTGCTTCTTTTTAGTTGGTCTGCGTCAACTTGTAACTCTTGGTCTTCATAACTTTAAGAGGACAGAAAAGTCAGGCAGTCAGTCTTACTGAGCAAGTGAAAGTCTGTGGGAACCTGCAGTTGCTTTTTCTCTCTGGGGATGAGGACAACGATAAAAGGTGTTCTGTTTTCCAGTAGTCCTGTAAGAGGAGCCATTGAGCTGGGCTGCACAACCAGACAACAGAACACAGGAAAATTCAGATCAAAGCAAGGGCACATGCCAGGGTAATATGCAATAAAATCCTGTGCCAAAGCAATGGGGAGGAAAAAAAAAAAAGAAAAAGAACAACAGCAAGGAGGTGGACAGAACCTGCTGGACCACCTTCTTATTAACACAGGGAAAGGAAGAAACAAAATCTGCTTGTTCTGAGCAGCTGGGAAAACAGTGTCCTAGATATACTGGAGTATTTCTATAAATGTGTATACGAGTATAGGTATACATTGTAAATAAGCTAAAGCCAGGAAACAGTGTTCTGTATGGACTGGTGTATTCCCATGGATATACATAGCAGTATTTTACCATTAACTAAACCCAAAAAACAAAGTGTTCTAGATGTACAGATACATGAGAACATAGACGCACATTTTCAATTAACGCAACCCACTGATTTTTACAGTCAGAAACAAAAAAATGCTTGTTTTTGAAATGACGTTTGAAAGAACATCAGAGACAGAATTGGGTGACGGTCTGATAAGCAGTGTCTTTTTTCCTTAGACCCTTTTTAATTTGATTCACTTCATAGGAGACACACACACACACACACACACACACACACACACACACACCCATTAGGTCTCTGGAAACAAAGGAAGGTCCTCAATTCTCTGGCCTGTGGAAGCACACGCGCCCCCCACCCACAGGCTGGACGCCACCACCTGACTTTAATTAATGAGTAAGCCCAGACGAGAGATCGCACCCTAGACCACAGCCACCGTAAGTGACAAACGGGCACGAGACAAACGCCACAAAGAAAGGGGAGGAATAGACGGGGATCAGGAAAACACTGATCCACAAGGCGCGTTCCCACTGCCAACACCACGGCAGCGGTCTTAGCCGTTCTCGTTCTCGTCCTCGTCCTCGTCCTCCTGCACAACCCAGCCGCCTCCCACGCCCAGGGCCAGACGCCCGGCACCCCCAAGCGGGGCATGCAAGGCGTTGCGAACCTTTCCTCCTGCGACCTCCCGGCGACAGCCTGTGCACCCTCGGGCCCGGGGGCGGACCCTCCTCCGCGTCCCTCCCGGCCTGGGGCTGCAGTCCCACTCCTCCCCGCCCCCCGCCGGGGAGCCCGGAGTGAGTGTGTGGGAGGCTGGCGTTGGCCCGCGGTCTCCTGAGCATCCCAAACCCGACCCACACGGTCCCCTATGTCCCAGCTCGGGGGCGACGGGCCTCTCCGCCCCGGTCCTCGCTCGATCACTTACTCGGTAGCGCCGGCGGCTGCGGCGGCGACGGCGGCGGGAGTGCGAGACCGTCAACGCCGGGCGGCTGGCTACGGGCGGAGAGCGTCTGCCGTGACCAAGTGCGGCTGAGGTGGCGGCTGCAGACTGCGCGCGGCCGCTAGGGGCGAGGGGCGGGCCCGGCGGGGGAAGGGCAGGCGCCGCGCCTCTCATTCATGCAGCGGGGCGGGGTGAGGGACCCGGATGCCCCGGCATCCCCCGCCCACCTCGCTGAGGACGCTGTCCTTCAGGGTCTTCAGCGCGCAGGCGCTGTGCTCCCTTGCTAGTCCTGGTCCCGCCCCACCCGCTGGGGAAGTCCCATAGGTGAAGCTGCCGCGAATAGACCCGTCTCGTTTAATCCTTAGTACTTTTGCATGTCCTGTATGCATTTTTAAAAGTGAAAGCTTGGAACAACATCTCCTTCCTTAGCTTCCAGATTGCCAGCCCCCGGGGGCACAGGAGTGCCCATTAGTTTGATGGAGATATTGTGTACACTGCCCCGTTTCTCCATTAGCCTCTCTTGCAGCAGGTCCACCCAGCTGAGTGCTGCCACCTCAGTGATGGAAGACCCAGAATCTGCCCAGATAGTCGAGGGAGGTGTGTCCTTTGTTTATTTGCATTGACCTAGTCCTCTTATCCCCCAGCTCCCATTCCACAGGGCAGGCAAGAAACTGACCTTGGTTGGGGTCCAGGGCTCTGCCCTTCTGTAATTCCAAGGTCTAGGGTCTAACTCAACTCCAAGGATCTAGGGAGGTGTCTCTGGTAGTGAGTGTCTTCTGCAGTTCCCAGATCCTTCGCTCTGCCATTCCTGGGCTGAAGGAAACATTGGTGATGGGGAGAGCCTGATGCAGTCCTCACAGCCATCCCCTCTGAGGCTTCTCAGCAGAGTGTGTGGGCACTGCAGCTCAAGCCTTACAGAAATGATTACCCCCTTTTCCTTTAGTTCCCATGTCCCCCTCTGAGGTTGTCCTTTCTTCTACCTTCCAGGTCCTGTCACGTAAACCATAAACAGCTCAGTGGCTTAATGTTGGGAAGCAAAATTCATCATGGAAATTGCCTGCTGGCAAGCTCCTTCTGCTTGGCAAACCATAAACCTCCAAAGCAAGGTTGAAGTAAAGACAAAATCAATGAACATCTCGTGTTACCGAATTGTCACAGTTCCCAGAGTGAGAGATGGATGAGGGCTTGTGCTAGGTAGAGCATGGCAAAAGGAAGGGTGTGGGAGATGCTTCTTCCTCTAAGGCTCCCTGTCAACACCTATCCCCCCTGCCACTCAAGCAAAGAATCTCATGATCTTTTTCCCCTCTCTCGCTTCACTCGTAGCTGTCATTTGAAACAAGAGAACATTTTCAACTCTAATTGCTGATACCTCTCAATCTGTCTAAATCAGCCCTTCTCTCTCCAGAGCTATTGCTGAAGTCTCGATCCATGCTTATGCAAATCAACTTACATGATATGCACATGTTTCTGTCCTTTTCTCTTTTCCTGCCCTACTTGTCACTTTGATTTTCCAGCCATTCCCAGAGAAGCACCATGTTGTTTACCCTTAGTGTCTGTGTTCTTGCTCTTCTCTTTATTATGAAAGCAACGCTCACCTAGGAACACTCAAAAGATACTTAAAAAAAAAAAATCAATTCTTCTTTCCTGTTCCCTCCTTGTTGACAGACTTTCTTGTGAAATCCTCACCTGTACCCACTTTCCTTTCAGCACCAGGCGCACTTAGGGTTCCTACTCATTTACATATTTTCTGTTGCGATCAGACTGTGAACACTTAAGCAGTAGGAGCAATGTTTCCTTGAGCCCTAGCAGGTAGGTGACTGGTGCCCAGTAGTCATACAGTGGTTGCTGGGATAGGTGATGTTCCCTGGTGGGCTCCACAGGGGAGAGAAATGCTGAGCTCCCATTTCTTTCTCCTCTCTCCGTGTGGCTTCTTTCCCCTGACTGGTGTTTAGAAACATGTTTTGTTTGTTTAGAAAGCTTGGCTAGAAATTCGCTAGTCCAAACAGGCTGTAGGGTAGAAGGTGGAGTGACTCCAGCTTCATGTCTTTTGTCCTTGTGAAAATTAGGGCAGAGAGGGAAAAAGAGAGACAGAAAGAGAATGTAAGGATGTAAGGAGTAGAGATGTGTTCAGTTGCTATTTTCAGGGATACCCATCTTACGAAAATTTTATTGAGGCATCAGCTAGCCCAGCTACTTTTTGGGTCAAGGAGAAAGTCTCCTTTAGGGGCTGGATAGGTGGAACCAGGCCTCACAGTTTCCACAACACATATGACAGGATCCTACCCTTCTCTCCTCAGTAGTGGATTGTTCCTTATCCCCTTGGAGTAAAAGTCAGAGTTTTTGGTCTCCTGGTATCTCCACCTGGAGATTCACCTGCCTATCTGCCTAGTGATACAGAGGTTCTATTCTCTCACAACTCCCAACTACCCCCGCCTTCTCTAGGCAAAATGCCTATGGAATAGATGTGCGATATGAGTATATTAAGGAAGGTCTGGGCAGTTTAGGTGGGTACTCCAAAATGGCAGGCATCCAGGACTTGAAGTAGTTGCTTTCTCAGCCAACATGTTTCCTTTGTTCCACATAATGGGAGACAGATAGAGGGAAAGACTTCATTGTTTAGGACCTCAGAGGATGTCCCTCTTTCTCTCTATCTCCCCTCCCCCAAGTTTTCTCTCATCTTCTCCCAATACTATACTTACCTTAAAGCATTTTCAGCATCCCCAGCCCATTTCTCAGAACACTCTGCCCCTACCCTCATGGTCAGAAGTCCTCTAAGACTCCTCTACCTTCTGGAAAAGAGATGATATCTAATTTTAAATCAAATGTCTATGACTAATTTTGGAATCATTTTCTGATGGTAACTGTGGTAGGAGCAGAGGCTGGTTTTAGTCATCTTGGATTTGGTGCTCAATACAAGGGTTTTTTTTTTTTGAATGACTGCCCTACTGTTAAAGGCAGAAATCAGTCTTTCAAACAGTAGCTAGAAATTGAATGTTGTCTATAGCCCAACTCCTCTGCCTGTCCTCTCCACATGGTGGGGCCTGTCTCTCTGTTGAATGGTGGGCACTATACCAGAAAAACATCCCTCATATTGGCCAATCATTTGACTGCTTAGTTAATCTAGAGCTTGGAATAATCCGTTCAAGGGTTGGCTATTCAGTGCTATGACTCCTTGGACTGGGTCAGCAGATGAGCCTCATATTTCTGTAAGAGACTGAAGCATGGTCCTATGTTCCCTTTCATCCAAGATTTCCAAAGAGTCTCCTGCTGGGCCTCCTCCTGCTGGACTCATCCCAATGGTCCTCCTCTCCTCGCAGCCCATGTTGATCTCTAGCTGGGGTATGACCCTGTCCTTGGAGTGATGGAATTGCTTCTCAATGCAGGATGTGTGTGCACGACTATGAAACAGTGTAAGTGGGGGAGGAAGGATAGGTTCCTATGTGCACTGTAGCTTTGAGCCAAGCTATGTTTCCTGTCGGAGGCAGTAGCCAAGCATTCTGTTTTCCCAGCCACGAGCAATCCATGTTGCCTATTTTGGCACACACAGGCCCAATGACCCAAACAGAACTCAGAGCTCCTGAAAATATAAATGTGCTCAGGATCCCATGTGAGCACCTTCTAGTGGAGGCCAGCCGCAGATAGAGGAAGTGATTACCCAGGGGTGGTACAGTCTGCTCTTACTTTTGGATTGCGGACACCTGTCATAGTGTGAATTCTCCCAGGAGCAGACCCTGAGACAAGGGCTGGGATACAGGTAATTTATTTGGGAGGTTATCCCAGGAAATAGGAGTCAAGAAATGGGAAAGTAAGATATGGAAGGGAGAGAAGCCAATACTCAGGTATGCTAATGGGCCAGTTACTGCCATGGGCACCTGGGGCTCCATCCAATGGGAACCCTCTGAGAAACTTTGTGGGAACATCCTCACACTTTCCTCCCAGGCGATGAAGAAGGAGGCTGAAGTATTTATTCACTGACTTCCGGTTGCTTATAGATGACCAATGGAAAACTTTCAAGTTACATCCGTGCGGCAAAGTGAACTGCCTCATTCAGCTCCTTCTGCTATTGGTCACACGGCCTCTACCACTATCATCACCAAAATTCCTGCTCCTCCTAATTTCTCCCACCCAATTGCGCCACTACCTTTTCTGTTTCCTGGGTTCTTAGGTCTGAGCTTGAAGGAGGAAGTGAAGTGGGATGATATCTTTGCCCACAAACATTCCAGGAAAAAAGAGCTAAAGTGGTTTATCTCTCCCCTCATTTCAACCTATCCAGTCTACCCAGATAGCTCTCTGCCACCATCACTTTATCCGAAAACAAGTAAAGAGGGAAAGGGCAAGAAAGCAGTCTTTCTGGAATGACTTCTGGACTCACAGTCATAGAAGCAGTGCGAGATGGGATGAACTCTCTCATTAGAAAGATGAGACCCAGTATCTTTTGCTTCTCCCCATATTACAGCACCTCCCCTAGGCAGGCTTCCCTGGTTTATCTTAGCTTTTTGCCCTTCCAACCTACTTGATCATAATCTGGACTCAGCCCTTTATGCCCTTAGAGGCGGGTGAAGGCCAAGATTAGGGGAAGAAGCTTGAACTCCCATGAGAGAATATTCTCCACTGGGAGACACAGGTGCCATCACAGGCCTCTGGCTCCTTTACCTGCAGTTCTCACTGGCCTGTCATCCAAAGGGGCTCACAGGAGGGGAATGCTGAGAGGAAATATCTTCTTAATATGACCAGAGGCTTCCCCTCCCAGGTTAAGATGGTGAATTGAATCCACACATCTCCTTTGGCTCTCTCCTGAAACCCATTAAAACTACTATAAAGAGATTTTTTTTTTAAAAGGACGGAGAGGACAGAAGAGGCAATAGCAAAAAGAATTTTGGAAGCTGGAAAACAGATGGATGAATGGTAATCGATCTAGCAGTCCCAAGAAGCTTGAAATCCAGGGAAAGCTAAGAACAGACTTGCTTTCATGGTAAAATACTAAAAATTTAAAAAAAGAAAAAAGAAGAAAAGAAAAAAGGGAATTGGCAGTCTTAGATACCTCTGGAACAGAGCAAGTCAGAATCAGAACTGGGTGAAAGGTGACTGGG